TAGAGACAGGGTCTAGCTGTGTTGTCCTGGTAGGTCTCCAACTCCTGGGCTCAAGCAATCCTCTCACCTCGGCCTCCCAAAGTGCTGGGGTTACAGGTGTCAGCCACCGTTCCCCACCTCCACCCACTTGGTCTTGCCTTGTTCCGACCGTGTCCACCACTGCATACGTCCACCTCCGGCTCCAGAGCCCCAGCCACACACCTGCCAGGGAACCCTACCTCTCCCACACAGCCTGGCCCACACACAGAGCTCTGTCTGCTATTCCACCTCCCCAAGCTCCACCCTGGCTAATTCTTTTTTTTATTTTTCCTTTTTTTTTTTTTTTATGACGGAGTCTCGCTCTGTTGCCCAGGCTGGAGTGCAGTGGCCCGATCCCGGCTCACTGCAACCTCTGCCTCCCGGGTTCAAGCGATTCTCCAGCCTCCGCCTCCCAAGTAACTGGGACTATAGGTGTGCGCCACCATGCCCAGCTCATTTTTTAATTTTGTTTTAGAGACGGGGTTTCACCATGTTGCTCAGGCTTGTCTCTGACGGGGGCCAGCCCCTCCACACCTGTGGGTATTTTTCGTCAGGCGGGACGAGAGGCAGAGAAAAGAAATAAGGCACAGAGACAAAGTATAGAGAAAGAACAGTGGGCCCAGGGGACTGGCATTCAGCATACGGAGGACCCGCACCGGCCCCAGTCTCTTGAGTTCCCTCAGTATTTATTGATTACTATTTTCACTATCTCGGCTAATGGAATGCGGCAAGAGAACAGGGTGATAGTGGGGAGAAGGTCAGCAGGAAAACATGTGAGCAAAGGAATCTGGGTTACATATAAATTCAAGGGAAGGTACTGTGCCCGGATGTGTGCCTAAGCCAGGTTTATGCTTCTCTCCATCCAGACGTCTCAGTGTAGCAAAGAGTAACCAAGCAGCATTGCCGCCAGCATATCTCGCCTCCAGCCACAGGGCGGTTTTCTCCTATCTCAGAATAGAATGAGTGTATGATCAGGTTTTACACTGAGACATTCTGTTCCCAGGGACATGCAGGAGTCAGAGGCCTTCCTCTTATCTCAACCGCAAGAGGCTTCCTCAGCACAAACCCTTCATGTGTGTCAGGCTGGGGGACGGTCAGGTCTTTCCCTTCCCATGAGGCCATATTTCAGGCTGTCTTAGTAGGGGGAAACCTTGGACAATACCCAGGCTTTCTTGGGCAGAGGTCCCTGGGGCTTTCTGCAGTGCATTGTGCCCCTGGTTAATCGAGAATGGAGAATGGCCATGACTTTTACCAAGCATACTGCCTGCAAACATATTGTTAACAGGGCACATCCTGCACAGTCCTAGATCCCTTAAACCTTGATTCCATACAGCACATGTTTCTGTGAGCACAGGGTTGGAGTTAAAGTTACAGATTAACAGCATCTCAAGGCAAAACAATTTTCTTAGTACAGATCAAAATGGAATTTCTTATGTCTTCCGTTTCTACATAGACACAGTAACAGTCTGATCTCTCTTTTCTCTACATATCCCCCTTTTCTTTTTGACAAAACCGCCATCGTCATTATGGCCCGTTCTCGCTGGTCACTGTCTCTTCAGAGCTGCTGGATACACCTGTGGACTAACAACAGACAGAACAGGCATACAGGGATTAATATGAAATTTACAATAGTGGAACTTCTAATGATTTTAACCCAACTGACCGGGTTAAGATTGGCGAGGCCATCAGCAGCATTCACGATTGCCTCAGTTCCTGGCACCACATTTAAATGGGCTTTTGATGCCTCAAAATGTGTTCTTTTAATTTTGAAAAGTCTAAAGTAAGATTATCTTTTCCTTGTAGGTGGTGTCTAACCATGTCCCGGTAACGCTCAGACTCATTACAGGCTTGGGGTGTAATACAAAAATCTGACGTATTCCAGTGACACTGTAACTGAAAATGATGTTCCAAGCTTATGAGCCTATCTCCCATCCAAATGACAGTTTGTCTAAGATCATTAATTTGGTTTGCCAATTTTTGATCTATTTGGGTCTGAGATTTTCACAATTTTGAGAAATTCTTTGGCCAATCATGGACATATTTTGCAGTTTGAACAGAGGATTGTAAAGCAATTCCAGCAGCCGCA